ATAATCCCACACTTCAATACCCACAAACTGCTGGCGAGCTGTTCCCTTGCGATTGAACAATGTATTTCATCCTCATTTTTTCTGCTGGAGCCTGATTCTACATGGTTTCTGCAGAATAGTCCCATTTCTGTATGCCCGAGGATCTGAGTGAGTGGACGAATGAGTATACAAGTACTTCTTAAAGCTTCTTACAGTTTAGCAATAGGATAGTTCCTATAAAATTGAGTTTGATGCTTGCTTTTGGTTGTATGCAAAAATGAAGCATAACAATGCCTCTACCAAAACTTGTCCAAAGTGTCCAAAACCTTTACGTTGCACTTTTGTTCAAAACTGCAAAATTAGTATCAAATTTTGAAATGTAAAACTAAAAAATGGGAAAAAAACAGAAGGGAAGGCAGTTTGAAAAACTAGTTCTGTTGCTTTGTGCAATTTTATTGCTTGTTTTCATCTCTGTAAAAGCTTCCTGTAATGCAGCTTGTTCAGAGAGATTACTGTAGCTTGAGCTTTTTTTTTTTGTAATAGCTTTTTTCCCCCATAAAAAAACCTTTTTTTACTTTTTGCCAGAAAAATAATTAAAGCTTATTTGTACAGAGTCTAGTTGATCAAAGTAAGGTAAGTTCTCATTTTGGTTGTTAGAATTTGTTAGATTTTCCTCTGAGAAACTAGAGCCAAATACTGCATTTTTAATTCAGCTAAAACTGCTTTGAAAACAGTAACATCTTTTTCTTGAGATATAATTGATTTGGAACTGCAGGACATGGCTGTTTGGAAGGAAAAATAAAAAAGTGATACTGTTTCACTAGTTGGAAAGGCCATTTTGTACAAAATTCTTTCGGAGAGAAATAGGAAGGTAATGAAAATCTCTATTTTTTAATGAAAGAGTTGAGATGTTTTTGATTAAAAGATGTGGTAGATAGGGATTGTTTAGCTGAAAAGCAGCCTTTTAAGAGGGGAAAACAAAAATAATAGTCTTATGATGGGCTCATGAAACATGAACTAAATTTTTTTCTTTCCCTTTTGTGTCTAGAAAGTCTGCGAGAAGAATATTAGCCACTGGTCCCTAGGAGCATATCCTGCTTTCTGCAACCCTACCCTAAAGAAAACTCCCCCTTTCAGAGTGAGAGGAAGGTAGTGTGAAAGTGAGGAACAGCACAGTCCACCTTGAAAAAGGTAAGGAAATGTTTTTCAGCTTATTCCTTAAGGAGGGATCACATAGATGATGTCTTCTTTTAGCAACTCATTACTGTGGAGAAAAGAGAAGTGAGAATGTAGATTACAATTGACTAGTAAAATATTTATTCTAACTTGCACGCCATAACTTTTAAACAGAAAAAAAAAGCTTTTTGGCATTAAAGGAAGAAGAGTAATGCATGTGTTACTGTTTCAGAACTATTTTTGTATTATTTTACTTGAAAGAGAAAAGAAACAAAAACTATTGTGCACAAAAGAAAATGTTTTCTTTCAACTATTAAAGATATTCTTGTCAAATCTTGCAGAGATTTATGTACTCTCCAGCCTATTAACCTTCTTTGTCTTGCCAGCACGGATGTATTGCCTGTTTGTAGAATGCTGCCACTGAGGATTTGTACTAAGTAATAACCTATCATTTAGGCCCTATCAGAACACATATGTATTGTTTTCTTTACTGCAAGGGTTTTGACTGAGTGATCATTTGTCAAATATTTCAATTGATACTTCCTTGGACGCTTAAGTGCTAACAAGTGTTGGAAGAAGCTGAAATCAGCTAAAAGCTCCTGAATTGCAAATGCTTCCTCTGAAAGGCAAATGACAGCAGAAGAGCATAAATGCCTTTTTTTTTTTTCTCACACAAAAAAATAATGTTGGAATTATGACTTCCATGGCATTCAGGAATGTTGTGCTGAAACAAGCATGTTCATCAGTGACTTCATCCGAAGCATCCTATCCAATTTGAAGATAAGGCAACATGAAAGCTATCATGAATTTGCTTTGGTTATAGTTGCAGCTAAAGCACAAATGTTCTTCAGTGTGTTCTAGTGTTCGGTCTGTTTAGAGTGCTTGAGCATTCAGTGTGTGATATCAAGGCACAGTGAATTTCTGTAAAATTGGGTAAAATACAGAAATTATGCTGCACTTTCAGAAAGTGCACTCAGTTGCTTGAGGAATCTCTCCTGTCTAACCAATCTCATTCTGTAAATTAGAAAATTTACAAAAAATCTTACATGAGTAATGACTATTTTCTGTATGGCTGATGTGTTACATGGAAAGAGAATGAATAAAAGATAGGTATCATTGACAACTTCTCTTAAATGCTTATTTGAAATATGCTTGCTTATGATTAAGAAAAGCATCTCCTTTTTTCTTCATATAGTCCTCGTTGTGAAGTTGTTTTTCTAAGTGCTTAGTTGTGAGATGTTGCCTGTGAATGGATTACAGGCAGGATGCTTGCTTATTTTTTTGAAACAGGAAGATGCCAGTTGTGCTACCACCAATGGAAAGTGCTCTGTGAATGCGGAATATTTCCTAGCTGCTCTAACTTCACATTTTCATGACATTTGTGTGTAAGGCTTACAGTTTCTGAGCCATCTTTTATTCCTTTAAATAGACTTCATTTATGCTGGCAGCGTGGTAGCTTTTCAAATAGCAAGTTTTTTGTTTTTTTTTTTTTCTTTGCCTAGCCTCAATAAAAGCCTGTGGCTTAAAATACAAATATTCCAGGAGTAGACTATGAGAGTGGCAAGATAAAATATCCAGATTGACTAATACGCATTTCATAAATACAATATTCAAGACATATATTTCTACATAGGATTTGCATATGATTTTTGTTCCAAAAGAGTTAAAGTCAGTTTTTTCCTACAGTGTACCCAGTGTTCTTTCATAACCCGCCTCCATATTTCGTTGTTAGAATATGCTGTTTTTTGCTGCAGAAAATAGGAGAAAGACATTAAGAAGGAATATTTTGTATGATGAGAATTTGCTTAATGCATATGTTTCTCTTCATTGTAAATTATCTGTGTATGTTATGTTAGTTTTTGAACAGCTGCTTTAAGTCCAATTCTTGTATTTGTTTTAATATATATATTTTCAAATTTTCTAGGTTTAAATGCCTATAGCTTTAGGCTGATATTTACTGATTGGTCCTGTCCTGCTGTCCAAAGTCTTCAATTTTCCATCAAGCATGGCTTTTGTTTTCATTGCTCAAATAACTGAGAATAGAAAAACCTTTGTTCTTTTCTACTTTACTAACATTTCTGATTTCATTTGTATCATTTCAAGCAGCCTTTTTTCCCTTTGTCCATTAATCTCTTTTTTCCTTCCTTTGCCTCTCTTGCTCTTTACGTTTATTCAATTCAGATTTCCTTCTTTCAGTAGCTGAGATCTCCAGATGCATTTGCTGCTGTGGCTTTTTCAGCTCACTGGGTGCCTCTGGATGCCAGGGCAGGGAGCTGATAGGGTTTTGTGTCCCGGAGCTTGGCCGAGGGGCTCTGTGCTGGCACGCCGTGGGAAGGAGCCATCTGAAAAGAACAGCCGCATTTATTGCAGCCACGTGCAAGGGGCCTTCCCCATCTTGCCTTAGATTCCATCTGTTTGTCCTCTTCCATAATGAAGGAGGAACAACCAAGAAGATGACTTGAGAGCTGCAACCTCTGAATGATTTTTATGGCTAGTTAGGATATGGCATATTAAGCACCCTGCTGGATATTGACATACTCTGTGTACTATGTTCATAGCTTTAAATTTTTACTCTGCCTTCCCTGGGGCTTCCTCCCTCTCCGTCTGAATGACTCTATTATTCGAAATGTAGCTCTGGGTCTTACTCTGCTTCTGAAAAGCTGCCCATACATTCTTCACTATTTTTACTTCCTATTTTGCTATAGGCCTTGATCCTGACAATCTGCACTCTTGCCTAAATTGCAATTGAAAGTAGTTCCAATTGACAAAAGAGCTGTCTTTTAGGCATGGTCTTTCTTTAGCTACATCATCTTAATCGTTATGTAGAAAGGGAAGCTAAATTCTCCTGTTACAGCTGCATGGTACTTTGCACTGTGAGGTCCTGCCAATTTGGTTGATATAATTCAGGGTAGAACAATATTGCATATTGCTGTTTTGTAACTTACCCTTTTTCCACATTGCATATGTTACCATCTAAAAATACCATCTAAAAATAAGACTTCTCTCTCAAAAGAGAATGAATCTGGAGATGAAACAAAAGTATGAAAAAATATCCATCATGTAGGTAATCAGGTATCAATATGAAAGCTCTTCAAGCTTTTAAGCCTCTATTTTAATCTGACTGTACGTTTTACAGAAGGACAAATGCTCTAATTCATGGCTGTCTCACTAGATCTGGAAGGTATAATGTATCATTATGAGTAATACCCCTATGTAACATAGGCAGTAAAAGTATCTCTGTTATTGAGCCTGCTAATTTAATTCTTTACTGCCTGTTGAAATTTAAAGCATGGAAGGCATGCAACTACAGATGGCAATCTGATGAAAGTAATTTTCTGTAAAATTGTTCCCTTGTATTTCTACAGCATTAAGGTAGTTAATACAGAGTTTTGGACTATAATATTGTTAAATCCTATTATATTCTTTAAAATGGTGTTCATGTATTTGTGTTCACTGTATTAGTTTATTGTTTTAAAAAGCAATACTGCAAATATTGTCAAAAATAGGTGGGATGCTGTTAGTTATTTTGTCATCATAGAAGTACGGACAATAAGATGGAAAACTCATTCCACGCAGCATGAGTCTTGCTGGGGAACTCTGGTTCGGTGGAGGTGAGACTGGCAGGTGCTGGTGCATTTTGATATGAAACTCAGCTACAGTTTTCATGTATGAAATGTTTAATAGCGTAATGATTCCTCTACACCCACCACAATGCTACTACTGCATAGTTCCGAAGAGGCTAAAGCATAAGACATCTCACTGCAAGAACAGTGTTTTTTTAAAATAAGAGAAGCTTAAGCTTATACTTGTTTTCATATTATGGTTATATAAATATGCTATGCTGTACTTCTTGTTTCAGTAACATTCGAAAAAATCCATGGCTGCAGCTGAAAGGGATTCTAACCAAAATGTTCACTCTGAGGTACTGGGTATTGATGATTCAGGTACTGTAAAATTGGTGTTTTGGTTGCAAATTAAAGAGACAGAATCTATTTTCATTTTGTTTACAGGGGAAACCTCTTCCTCATGATTCCCGTAGTGCAGAGAATCTGTTTATGCCAAATAATCTCTACTCTGGTATTGAAAAATGTGGAGTTAACCAGACTAGTCTTGCAGTTGTTTCCTACTGCAGACTGGTCTCCCAGTGTAGTTCTAAGTATTTTTACTGCTAAATATTTTTATTACTGCAGCAATTTTCAACTTGATTTTAATACGCTACGAACCAAAGCACCTTAGAAACTGGCTCCAGGAAGCAATACAGTATTCATTTTACGTTGTCTTTTTTTTTTTTTTTATTGAGTGAAGGACTCCTCATTTCAGTATGAGCACTTGTCAAGGTGAACGTGCTGGCACTTCATCTGTGTATCCCTTTGCTTCATACATGTGAGAAACTCTTCCTTGATCTAAACTTCATCCGGTAACATTTTATCCTATAGAATACCTGTCACCTCCTGAACAACACTACTGCTTTCATTCCCCTACAGACTTACTGCAAAAGTTAAATACCAAAGAATAAAAGGAAATTATCTTCAAGAATTCAGTAGATAATCTTTTTTAGGCACAGACTTACAGGATTGTGCTCTCTTAAGCACAAGAAGGAAGCTCCCTTAAGGAAATCTTAAGTGATGGAAATGTGGAAAGGAATTTTGAAAAACTAGTTTGTAAGAAAAGCGGTTCTTTGGGGTTGCAGTTCAGGAAGTTTTACTTTTGCTTAAGTGTTAGTAAAAAGACTGAAGCATGAAGCATCTTACTCCTTTTCCCTGGCCATATTCCCAGCTGCCCTCATGGAAACTAGCACCTTCTAAGGAAGCTGGCCCAGTTAACAAGCTAGATAATACCCTTTAAAAACTTGTCACAGACTCGTGAAAGGCACTCATTGTGCACTGTTGCTATATAACTTGTAGTTCGTCTTAGGTACAGAGGAAAAAATATATTGCTTTTGTGATGTCTGTACGAAATTGTAAATGGAAAGCGACTATGATTCCCTCACTTGAAAGAGGGTATGGATAGATACA